GAGGGGCTGTCATGGAGCGAGACACAGTTACCTGAGCAGGAAGAACAGAGACAGTGAGGGGTCCAGAACTCAGAGGTGGGAAGGAGCACAGCTAACCTCCTTTGATCAGACCTTAAATCCCATCTTCCTAGCTAGTACCCAACAACTCAAACTATACCTTCTTAGCCAGCATCCAACAACTCAAACTGCTCAACAGTGTGTGGCTGATCTCAAGGCTCTTCTAGATCTGCCTTGCTCCCTCCCACCTGCTCCTGGGCTCCTTATCTTTGGGAAACATCCCTCAGCCTGGAATGTCCTCCTACCTGTCAGGCAGAACCTTCCCCCCCTCCCCCCCCCAGGAAACTTCCCTGTCCCCAGACCTGTCATACTCTATCCCAGTTGCCTGCTTACCAGCCTGCATTCCAGTACTAGACTCAGTGTCCCTCCATGCCAGGGCAGAATCTTCTCTCGCTATAGACTCCCAGGGCCCAGCACTCTGCCTGGACCACATACATGCACCTTGTAATAAACAGGAGAGAGAGGGATGAGTGAGTGACTTCTAGTCAGAAGGCCGGGGAAAGCTTCCTGGCTTTCAGGAGGGCCATGATCTTCTACTTCCTTCCTCAGTCACTGCTGCTAGTCACTGACCGTGGCCTCTGTCTGGGGGCACAGTGCTCTCTTTCCGATGACTTTCCCATGGAGTTGACCCCGAGCAATAACTGATCCATATCATCTGGTGCTGAATGTTCACAAGGCCTCAGAAACAGAAAAGTCATGGATGGACATGATGGGTGGTATTTGATGGTTGTTTCAAGCACAGAAATGGATTTAAGCACGAAGGGGTTAACTCAAATACTACAGATCATCTTAAAATTCTTCCAAGATTTTCTTTCCACTCTGTGATCTGTGGGTACCAAAAGATGACTCCAAAAGTTGTATCCAGTCCCTTCTTCAGAAACACTAGACCCAAGTCCTTGGATGGGAAGACCTCCAATGATGCCCACCGGCTGTACCTTCTGAAGATTGTAACTTTCATGATTTCCATATTCTGGGGTCTTTCTCATGCCTTGGGGTCTTCTCTGTGCCCTGAGGTCCTCCTCATGCCCCGGGTGCCTCTACTGTTTCCAACCTGGGAGACAGGGAAGGGATCCATCCAGCCTGGAGTACCCTGGAGCTATACAATATATGTCTTTCCCAGGTCTTCTTGGAGGAGGGCCCTCTTCCATCCCCAACAGATCTGTCCCCAAGCAGAACAGATCCCCGATCAGCCCAAATGGCTCCAGATGCTGGAAGAGTCCCTAGTGTTGTCCACGGCTCTGAGTGAATCCCTGGATCAGAACTCCCCCATCTCAGGCCCATCCTCTGTGTACCCTTGTCCTGGCATAGGTGCCAGGAAGCCCTCCAGTCTTTCACTGTGGGCTCCAGGGCCGAGGTACAGGGGTATACCTCTGGACTGGGCACTGCTAGCAGAAGTGGGCCACTCTCCAGGAGGCTGGAGCTGCTCTGTGCCAGCAGCCGGGCCACAGGGCAGCCCCTGCAGGAAGCCATAGGACCAGGAAGATGGGCAGGAAGAGCCTCTGGGAGAGAGGCTGGAGGCTGCACACTCTGGCAGAAGCCCTGGGCCCAGAGAAGAGCTCTGGCTCAGGATCCAATTTATAGAAAGAGTCCCCACCCTGTCAGCCCTTGAGTCTCTCTGGAGGCCTCAACCCAAAAGTGGGCCAAGCAGGGCCGATGAGCAAGGCCTGCCTGCAGCAGGGCTGAGAAGCCCAATCCCCAAGGGTAGAACCAGCAGAGCGTCAGCCTCCCAGGGATCTCCACAGCAATCAAAGCACGTGAGCCAGGTGTGCGGGGCCTCTTTGTATCCCACATGCTGGGTTGCCTGGGAATAAATCTCCCATGCTCCTAGGAGACAATCACCCCTGCCGCTACCTCAGGGGCCAGGAGACCCATCAGTCAGTCTTCTCTCTTGTGCCCATGCTTCCAAGGGCACAAGAATTCCAGAAGAGCTCGGCACTGTGAAAACACACAAGTGCTGTGGTTTGGGTCTCCACGGGCAGCAGGGCTGGGAGCTCCGCCTTTTTCAGAGGAAAATTCATTAACAGAAACAACCTGGAGAATACTACAAATTACTTAAAAAAATCCTTCCACTGTAATTAGAGATGGGCACATCTGTGATGGGGTTACCCAGAAATAGATGTGAAGCCAACTGCTGTGTTTTCAAAGTTGGGGAAATCTGTTCAGTTGCGGTCCCGGCGGGGGTGGGGGGGTGGCGTGGCACAAGGGGCACAAGGCCCCACTCGGGCTGGCTTGGAGCACACCACATGGGTTCACGGGAACAGCTACCATTTTGGCTCTTCTGCTAGGAATGGCAACTGTGGATGTTTTGCGCTTTACTATAAGGTAGGAGAAATTCTACTGGGAATACAAAAGGAAAAACCATTAACAGGTGTTTTTTTCAGACTAGTGCTTTTTTTTGTTTATGCTTTGTTTGAGAGGGGAGAAGTGAAAACCACACATAACACGTGGAAGGACGATGTACAGTATTTCTCCACTGGGGTTTGAGGTGGACGATTACTGCCATCCCCACGAACACGTGCTCGCTTCATCTGGCAATGTCCATTTCACTTCCCATGTGGGAGCACAGCATGGACAGCCCCGGGCCGCGGGCAGTCAGCGCCCAGCCCTGAGCGTGGCCGCTCCAGGCTGGCGTCGGCTGTGCATTTCTGCTGCCCGAGTGAAGTGCACATCTCTGCTGCTTTCCTTCTGGAAGCAGGGCTTCCTTCCACAGTGCCTTTCATCAGGAGGGACCCTCTGGGTGTCCCCTGGACTCAACTCTTCCTTGCTGATGTAGGAGAACTGTTAGCAGAGAGTGAACCCTGAGTGAAAACAAAATGCCCGCTAAGTGTCTAATAGGCTGGGAATGTTGAGAGCAGGCCCAGCACTGGTTTTCCTTAGCAACACGCTTAAGAGGGCAAGATGGTGAGTAATATCGCTCTCCATGTAGACTCCTCCCAGCCTGACTCTATTGTCATGAGCCCTCCTGACACTAGCCCTATCTCTTTTGCAAACTAGACAGAGGGAATTTTTTGGTAAAAAACCAGAAATGTTTACAAAACTATGATTGCCCTCCCCTTTCCAAGTCCATCCCCTGTTTAAGGCCTGTAGGATCTAGTCTTCCAGGAAGCATGGCCAAGTGAGAGGGTGGGCTTGCACCCCCACTTCTGCCTCCCGATGAGACCCAGCTACACCTCCTAACCAGGCTGCAAGGTGGAAGGGAGCAGACCAAGACCTAAGGGATCTGCAAACAGACATGGACACAAACCACAGAGCAACCATTTCACTTCGTGCCTGGGACCCTGCTGGTCTCAAGGGGACTTGAGCTGTGCTGGCTGAGAGCACAGTAACAGTGGCTATGACTGAGGCCTCTTCTACACTCCCAAGCTTGGGCATAATATTCCTCCGGACCAGGTGAGACAGGTGGTGACGAGGCCTGAGCACCACTGATCCGAGGTCTCTGAGGAATCTGGTGTGCACAGCTCTGAGAGGCCTCTGGGCTCCTGCTGAGCACAGGATGTGAGCTGGTGGGCATGCCTCCAGGGCACTGGGCAAGTGGACTGGGCAGCCAATGCTGGTTTTGGTACTGTTCCTCAAGGGACAGGAGAGGTTGTCCTGGCCCTGAATACACCATCCTGTGTGGCAGGCCTCAGCCCAACTCTGCCTCGCACACTCTCATCAGAAGACTGGTTTTAGGGCGCCTGGGTGGCTCAGTCAGTTAAGCATCTGTCTTCGGCTCAGGTCATGATCCCAGGGTCCTGGGATCGAGCCCCACATTGGGCTCCCTGCAGGGAGCCTGCTTCTCCCTCTCCCTCTGCCGCTCCCCCTGCTTGTATGCACTCTCTCTCTATCAAATAAATAAATAAAATCTTAAAAAAAAAAAAAGGAAGACTGGTTTTATATAGAAAGGTTTTCAAAGATCCACATCATGTGGTAGAGCCAAGAGGGAATGAGAATACGTTGTTCATACAGCAAGGCAATGAAGAGAGTAGCTCCCAGCTGGAGATGTGGGTCCGCACTGTCCAGGACAGCAATGGGCAGTGCAGTGGCCCGTGAGCCCTGCAGATGTCTCCCTGGGTTTTAAAGACTGATTGTGAAAAATGGCAAAACACCTCATCAACATTTTTCTTATACAGATTACATGTTGAAATGATAATATTTTTAGATACTGGGTTTAATAGATTATACGATTAAAATGAATTTCACCTTTTATTTTATTTTAAAAATTATTTTAACTTGTTAAAAATGTGGCTACTAGAAGATTTTAAATTAGGTAGCTTGAATTATAGTTTTATTGGGCAGCACTGATTTAGAAATCTGGCCTCTAATCCTGGCTAATCCAGTGTGTAGCTGGGTAGTAACAGAGCCAAGCTCACTGGACTGATTTCTTTTGTGAAATAAGCCCAATTTCCTTCACAAGTTAAAAGACTAGCTGAAAATGCTGTCTATACCAACCATCAGACCAGCATCCCCCTCTTGTTTCTCCTCAGAAAACAGGCCTGTCCCACGTGGTTGAACAGGTTGTAGATTGTACAAGGATGACACATTGAAGGGAAGGGAAGCTGTTCACACTGTACATAAATAGATTTATATATTTATTATTATTATATCCTGGTACCTGGCAATAAGTATCTTGTTCCAACAAAATGAGTATATTACAGTGATTTTCCAACAGACAGAATTAGAGCATTCTGAGGAAGCGATACTTTTTTTCTGATTTGCATAAAAGCTATAGCTGGGCTCGGGTCAGCCCTACCAGAACCTGAAGACTGCCTGAATTCCACTCCAAGGACAGCTGCTTTGCTGGTTTGGCCTCCATCTCTGTCATAGGCCCGAAGCATCTGAGGGCAAGAACTTGGTGCCCTAATTCAAGCCTTAGTTTTACAAAATGTCATTGATGTCTGGTGCCAAAGAATTAAATAACCAGCTGGGCCACAGCCAGGACTCGCCCAGGATGGGCCACTTACCTTTTCATTTTTCTTGTCATCTGGTTTGCATCCAGTGTTGGTGGGGCTGGACGATGACAGGCCACTGGCAGGCCCCCCTCCGGCCTCCCCGTTGAGGTTGGCGGCACTGACATTGGGAGGTGTGACGGCGGACGCTGCGGATGTGAGTGGGATGGCTGGTCGGGGGCACGGGGCCCCGATGACCGTCTGCACGGGAGGCTGGTGCACGTGCTGCGGGGACACCACCGAGTGGGGCCTGAGGCTGGCGGCGGGCAGGCGGGATGGGGAGTTCTGGGTGCGCAGGGGCGACACGGTGGCCGTTGGTCGGTCCTGGGCCTGGGCTGAAGAGTGGGCAGCTGGAGCATGAGGTTGGAGAGAGAGTAGGGTTTCAAGGTTAGTTTGCCACGGCAATACAATCGCCACAGACTCGTTCCTCGGGCTCACAGCCTCTCTGCTGTGAAAACATCTTTTCCAAGGTTGCCACGAGCGTGGGCATATTCCCAGCTTCCCATGAAGCCTTCTAACTGGTTTCTTCTGCTAAGATGAACTAATACACTCACAAGTTCTCTTGCAACGCCCTTGTGAAAACGTTCATAAAAATAAGGCCTGTGACAATCCTGAAGAAGCCCCAAGATGCCCCAGAACTATTAGACACCACTCCCTGTAAGGTGATCACTGCCAACAGCCTGGCCCTGGTTGGTCTCGACCCCAGAGCTGTAACCCGGAACTCTGTTCACACTTGGTATTTGAGCCGGCTGAGCTCGGGCCGAGCACGTGCGGCAGCTTTAGCTGATGACAGTCACAGGAGGAAGGCAGCTGCAGCCTTGGGGCGAGCCATCACCCCTCTCACCGCGATCTGCCGGTGGCTGTCGCCTTGCCTACACCCCGAAACAACAGTTTCTGGATTTATAGAACAGGAACCTCACAATGACGAATCTGCCCCTACTGCCAGCAAAAATGCCTCCTAAGGATGGTAAGGGTCTGAAGGCCTGACATTTGTAAAAATCCACCATTTGAAAACATAAAGTCCCTTCTAAACACAGCACCGAATTAAAATGAATCTTGCTGCAGCTTGTGTTAGTGATTTTGAAGAACTGTCTCCTTACCAATCAGAGAAGAAACATACAGGGGGACAGAGTGAGGCACACGGGAGGAACGGTGATTTGTGGCCTGGGCTGGTGACCCAAAGGGAAACACGGGTTGTGGCAGCCCACATCACTTCATACCATTTGTCCCATGCAACATTGGGCAACTCAGATTACAGCATTTTTGCACTGTCACCCAGAGAAAAATTACACCTCACACTGTCCTTACTTTCTACCACCAGAATTCATGGCATTCGTGGCTTTGCAATATGAAAAAATACACGTGATAAAGCAAAACAGTATTCTCAGCCCCCAAATATGCCTTGAATAGATCTACTCATAAATCCTCACAGCATTTCCCTGGCGTGTGAAGTAACTCGGCGCGACCAACCAGAGCCCTGTCACATGCAAGGCAGGCCTCTTCCCTCTGACGGCATTGCATGGGAAGAGCCGTGAGAGCTAGTTATGTGATCCCGGGATCTCCGGGATGCAGGGACTGTCGCTGCCGCCTCTGTTTCTAGGAGGTGAAATAAATAAAGACTGATTTATGGTTTTAAAAGTATTCAGGGTTTGGGGTGGGTTTGAATCCTCACTCAATGTGGCCCCACATTTCAAAAGACCAGGTTAGGCAACTATGCAGATCGATGAAGCCACTGGGCTCAGTCAGCCCGAGGTAACCCGTGACTTGGACAGTGCTCCTGGGACCATCTGTCTGCCTCTCCCCAGCTGTCTGAACTCTCCTTCACCCCAGCCCCCCGGCCCTGGAACGAGAAGTCGTGGCTGGGCCAGGCAAGAGCAATCACTTGGGCTCGAGAGCCTGCAGGGGCTGCTCCAGATTCTTCTGCTGAGTCCCACACCACTCCCCTCCACTTCTGGCTGGCTTCTACATGCCTGCCACATCACCCTGCCAAACCCAATGCAAAAGAAGAGAGGGTGTTCCAGAAAGTTCTAAGCCTGCCTGCCAGGCAATCTCTTTGACATCCTCCCGTGTTCCTTCCCTCAGCCACTCCAGTCTCCTGGCTGTTCCCCCAACACAGGCTCTCTCTCACCTCAGAGACTGTGGCACAGAACGCTCTTCTCCAGAGTCACACGTCCCCTCACCTGCTTCCATCACCACAGACACTGCCCTCCCAGAGAGCCCTGTTGTTGCCCACCCACCGAACAGTGCAAGCTGCTGCTCTGCAATCCCAGCCCCTCTTGCCCTGCTTCCATTTCCCTTTCCTCCCAGGGCACTATCTGCTCTTAACAGTCTCTATGATATGCCTCTTCATTGTGTGTTGACTCCGCCCACTACAAGCTGAGCTCCACGAGGGAGCGACACTTGCTGTGTAGTTCATGAATATATTCCAAACAGCTGGACTGGTGTGCAGCATGCACCAGGTGCTTGATAAATTTCTTGAATGAATGAACAAGTCTTTGAGGAAAGAGAACCTCAATTAAAATATCTCTTCAGATTTTACAGAATTGAACCACTGGAGAAGATAAAAATCCTCTATGAGAAAGAGGAGCATGACTCACTACACTAGCTGGTAGAAGAATGTGGGATTCCACTGATCCTCGGTAGGATTTATCCTCAGGTTCACTCACCCTGTGCCACCCAACCTCGGACTGACCTAGACTGCTATCGCTCTAGTCATCCTACTGGTTAGCAATGCCAAAGCAACCTGCCTGACAGAGGCACGCAGTCTGAGAAAATGCTCTTACTCCATAGTCTCTGTTCCCCTTTGCCTCTCCTCTGTAAACCTTTGGCATGCTCCAGCAACTCTGGAGTACCTAAATCCCATTGGATGTCACTCAGTTCACTGCTGTGTCATCCCACATGTGCTTTATACTTTATTTTATTTTTTTTAAACATTTTTAACATTTTATTCTATTCTTTACTCTTTTTTTTAATTCTTATGTTAATCCCCATACATTACATCATTAGATTTAGATGTAGTGTTCCATGATTCATTGTGCATAACACCCAGTGCTCCATGCAGAATGTGCCCTCCTCAATACCCATCACCAGGCTAACCCATCC